GAAATGGTGATTATTTTAGATTATGGAAGAAAATTTAATGAAAGAGAATATGTAAGCAATAAAGATATTTTTTCTTCTAATAAATCTATTATCTTTAAATGATTTTTTTTCTATTATTTTGATCTTTTTGAATAGATAGAATCTTTCAAACCTTGTTTCATCTTATTAAGTTTTTTCTTCTTTAGATTCAAACTACAATATTGGCTTGACTCTTGTAATCTTATTGTTGGCATTTGATATCTATAGTTTTTTGATTGGTAAGTATGTTGTAAATAGATCATTTACTTAGTAGGCCAATTGGTATTTAAATATTATTTTTTATAATAAAAGATGTAATTTTATTTATTTATTTTAGAGTAATTATAATTTTTTGGTCTAAATTTAAATTCATGGCCATTTAAGATTGAAAATATTTAATATAAGAATTATTTCCAAGTACAAAATAATTATCTTTATTTTTATTTTTAATTTTAATTTTTGGAATTTAAGATACATGTTTTTCATTATAAACAACAATATATCTTATTGTTGACACAATGACCAATCTTCATCAAAAAACAAACTATAGATTTTTGGTATAAATTAGTTAAGAATAATTTGTTATAGATTAATTATACTAATTTTATATGCTTATTAAAATTATGAAGCTCATGAGCCTCAATTAATATAATCACTTTTTTAATCAAAGAATCTATTTTATTCTTCATAGTATCAAAATTAGTCTTACAATTTCAAGACATAACATTCCACTTTAGACCTTATAAAGTCCAATTTGCATAAAGACAATAAGTTAGTTGAAACAAAAAAAACTATCCTATCTAATCTTTCATAGTTAAATAGATGTCATATACTAATGACATCTAAGACATTTGCATGTAGACTACAATAATAAGCTCAACATATTCAAGCTTATTGGATCTAGTTTCTCTTCGAACATAGTCTCTTAATACTACAACTATATTTGTTATTGCAAGTACCATAGTTACCATCATCAAAGTCCAAAAGATGTACAAGAAGATGAATTGACAATCATGATTATTACTTCGATGGTGTCCAAGAAAATTTTCCTTATTGTCAAATAATTCAAGATCAACAAGTTGGTTCTTTGGCTCAAAGTTAAATAGAAATTTGAATCTTTAGAAATTCAAAAAGAGACTAGGCTTCAAAAGAAATTCTTCTTTCTTACAAAGTACTAACAATTATAATTTGATCATATATATATATATATATATATATATATTATTGTAGAAAACCAAATCCATATTTCTAATAAATGGGAGAGGATAGAAGAGGATTTAGGGCGATAGCATAAATTTTTTATTTTAGACTTTAAATATATTAGATTTTTTTTAATAATAAAATATTAAAAATGAAATCTTATTCTTATAGATTTGAAAGTCTACTTTTTAGATCTTATTATGTTAACTTCCTCTTCAATATCTTTTTTATTCTATTATTGAGGTGAACTGCTAACAACTAGTATCAAATCTTGGTTCTTTGTTTTTATGATCTAAGAATATGATAGGCGATGCTATTTGTATCCAATTATTTTGATCTACTAAGATTATGATTCCAAATATATTGATTCAAGTGTTTGAGTAGGAGTGACGACATTAGATAAATAAAAAACCAAAATAAAAAAATTGAATAGGAATGATTTTAGTTTCTAAAAGATGCATATTAAGAACTTCTTATATTAGAAAAAGCTTTGCAAACTTTTAGTTGATACAAAGTTATTTGCAATGAAGAAAGAAGACTAGGATTTGTTAAATTGTTAAGTTTTGGATGTGAATTTTTTTAGCATTGGCAAAAAAAAACATTGTATTTAATATCATTCATAAAAAAAACTACAATAAATTTAATGAAGGCGGTATGAAATATATATAAAATAAACTTTTGCTCATAACAAAGTATATTTGATTTAAAGATAAGACAAGATATATTTGTTGTTAATCATATTAACAAATTTAATGTGATTACAAATCAATTGAGTTTTGTGGAACTAACCATCAACAATGAAATCAAGGCTTTGATTCTATTGTTTATTTACCTCAAAGTTGGGCTGTAATAATGACCCAATGAACAATTCTTCAAGAAGCAAAAAGTTGAAATTTAACAAAATTAAGGATTTAATTCTCTGCAAAGATGTTTGCAAGAGAGAAAGTCAGTAGAATCTTTAGATTTTGTTTTGAATACCTAAGACAGAGGAAGGAGCCATCAACAAGGATATAGATTGTACAATGGCACATTGAAGTCTAGAAGAAGAACCAAATTGAAACTTCCAAAAGTTATCACTTGCTGGAATTGTGGTACTAAAGGTCATTATTCTAGTGATTGCATTAGTTTCCAAGTTGAACATTGTTAATGTGCAAAGCCAAATCCATACCTGCAACAAATGTAGGAAGGTTGAGAGGGCAACAAATAAATTATTTCAAACTTTGAATATATTAGATTTTTCTTCTCTGGTAATGATGATGTTCTAAGTGGAGGTATTATCAACGCCACAACAGAGTGATACTTTGAGGTTGAAAGATTGAAACATTGAAACATTTTTCTATCAACATGTAGGTAGAGGAAATAGAAACTTGGCATGACCCAATTTTTCACCACTATGGCTGTTCTTTGAAGTACCCAAACGCCCGATTCAAAGGACTCGCAAATGTCTGCAACGAGCAATTGCTTGAGCGTGTTTAGCACGGAGAGGTGCAAGTTGGAGTGTATAGTTCAGTAACATTCAATGAATCCAAAAGACCGTCTCTCACTGGCTTTGACAGAAACAAATATCACGCACTTCCTCAGTTGGTTCACTTCACTTCTCCTCGGCCACATACTACGGGTGCATCCGCCGTCCTCTCAGCGCGTGTCACCTGTTGCATTCCCAAGCAGGGGGGGGGGGGGGTTGGTGAGCCTGAGCAATCAAGCAAGTGCGCAAGGACAAACTACTGGAGGTTCTGACTTCAAGCCATGCAGGATCGAAGCACCTCGCAGACCTGCAGTATATGATTGCGGTTTTCTAAGAGAAAATAAAACCAGTCAGTCACATTTCAAAGTTGTAGTGAACTTGGGAAAAATACTTTGTTGTAAAATGTAATTATGGTGCAACAGTAATGTCATCAATTTCTAAGCATAAATAAAACATTGAATGTTTGATCTATGGTACAAACCTTCATAAACTATCCGATACAAGTAATTCTCATTACCTGTGCAATATTTTAAGCGTTTCCAAATTACTTGATTAATGTTTCATACAAGGATCTCACTAAGATTACACTTGATAATTTATTATTTCCACTTGTGAGATCTGAGAACCTAAAAAGAAAAATTCTCTGAAAACCTCCACCATCAGAATCCAACTGTATAATCAAATTAGCCAACGCTCCATTAGCAGTAGTCAAGTCCACTCTATGAACTGGCATTTCAAGCTTAAAGATCAAAAGACGAGGCACTGATGGCTTTCTCCATCTTAAATTGCGTAATCACGGACCCCAAATTACATTAATACTTTATTATTGAGTTTGTTACTGATATATATATATATAATATGTTTTAAATTAACATTTTAATTTTGAAACTAAAATACTTTAAGAATGACCCTGTATATATACTGTTTGAATATACAGAGTAACATGTTACAAGCTATTCATGATTTTGTGTCAACTTTATATACTAACATGTGTATAGGTTTTTTGTAGTTGTTTTTGTCAATATAGATTCTGACAAAGATCAGACTGTAAACAATAAATAATCATGAAAATATAATATTTTACATGAAAATAATATACACTTTTATTACTTTAAAATTTTAAATACAAAAAAAAAAAAAAAAAAAAAAAAGACGAAAGTTCTACAATGGATAGTCTTTGTGATCTATCATGGATTAGAAATTAGAAAGTCATAAACAGTAGAAGATTCACGTTAGGAGTTATTTTTTAAGATATCGTTTTATTTTAGTTTTTTATACAAGTAAATTGAAATGCAATAGAATCAGCATAAAAATTACATTTATAAAAAAAAAAATATGGTAAAGTTTATATACGTAACTGGATATTCATCATGATGGCCTTTAATAAAGTAGCATCAATGAGCATATTGTGTGTCATTTTATGTCCACTGAACTTTGGGAAGTTAGTTGAAATAATGTTATGAGGAACATTCAATGTTCAAAATTGCAATATTCTCTCTTAAGCTTATCATAATTTGAAGAACTTGTTGTCAAATTTGCATTGCTTTGCTTAGATGGTATGCTATGTAATGCGAGGAACTTGATCCCTTACATATGAATATGTTGCAATAAATATGTTACAAAATTTCATAAAAAAATAAAATAAAATAAAATAAACCACATGATTTTGTTGTGATTGTCTAAATCTAAGTAACATTTGATTATGAGATTTTTAAAATTAAACGATGTAGCAACGAACACCCAGAAACGGAGGATCCTCAAGCGGATGAAAGCCAAGAAAGTTCTCATCACACCACCATAATTCATCCGACACGGGCAGCACGACGGAACATGCAAACAGCATATGAATACGACGCGTTCAAGACAACGAATCGACTTCGTCGACGAACGCATGGGACGGCGAACGAACTTCGTTGGCAAACTCGTGGGGTGACGAACGAACTTAGTCGACGAAAAGAGAACGGAAGAGTTCCAGAATGCAGCGGAATGCAGCGAGCGAGAGCGAGCGAGAGAGATGTTTTGCTGCGGCGATGGTGAGGGGGTCTCCGAGGGCACGGTCACGGCGATTGCGTATTGTTAGGGCAAGGGCGAGAGAGAGTTGCGCACCACTCCAATAAATTTCTTACAAATTGACTTTCACACAATACCCACTTTCACACAACCCAAGGGAAAAAAATCTAGCCAACCTACTCTCGTTGGAGCTTTCAAGGCGTCGGTCCCTCCATCGACCCTCAATGAGATTCTCAACAACCCTCGTGTGTCAGGAGGCGCGGATTCCCTGCCCCACACACGTTGCTTTCGACGTCCAATTACAACTACTTGACGGAGCGTGTGCTTTATTTTGGGGCCTCTGGATCCCAGCTCGTTGTCCCATGGTTAGATCTTCCGCGTTGGAGGCTAAGAACGGTAAAGTGGCGCAGAAGTTAGGAGGTGGGTGTGTGTCTAGCTGGCAGGGGGTACTTAATAGAAGTCAAACGTAGTGAGGTTATCTGTGCGCCGCGGTTGTGGGGTTCGAGGTGCTTCTTCGTTTGCGCTAATCAGGTGCTCTAGGGTTTTTCGAGGAGATTGTGTCGGTGTGGACTGAAGCATGGTGATATCCAGTCGCACTGTCTTCGTGCCGCTTCTGGTTTGCTGTGTCGTGGTGACCCTTCTCCTCGCGGACGTCGCCGCTGTGCCCGACCACCAGCCGGGGCAGTCGAGGCCGGACATTACAGGTAAGTTGATGGTGTGCCACTATAGATGACATTTCGCGAGGTTGAATCTGTGTGGTAGTCTCATGTATGAAACTACACGATGCTTGAGCTGGGCATAATAACTGCCATACTCCATGTATGACGACGTGAGGGATTCATTCGAGACAGTTTAGTTATTTCTCATTATTGTCTGGGAAGGTCGGCTAAAGTTGTATCTGTGGACTAGTTTTGAGCATGTCGTCTTCCGGATGTGTGTGTGCAGGTGATGCACAGGCGTTTTACCTTCGAGGCACCCCCGCGACCGAGAAAGTAGCTAGGGAGGCCGAGGCCATGCAGACTAGGGAAAGCTTGGAATCCTTCGCACGCCGTGAACTGAACGACTATGGCTCAAACCCAGCGAAGTCCAATCCGAACAACTGCCCCAGATCGCAGAGACCCTGCAGACCGCGATGATCGCCTCATATTTTGCAATTGTATGCCTCAACTCCGTTCTGATTGGGGTTCCGGGTTTGACACTGAGCAGCCAGGCGTTAGACATCTCTACGAACATGTGAACCTTGAGTGGCAAGTGTAGCCACGCTGTTGATTCCATGAGAGGGGAGACTTCGAATTTTCCGGATGTCAAAAGCCGCCAACTGCTCTCTAATCTTTGCGTGAAGCGAAGGGTTCGTTGATGGGCACTATGCATCGCAAATCTTGTACAGTAAACTCATGTATCGCCTCGATACTTTTGTTGTGATTGGGTGTTGTGTTGATGCTTGTGTTGTGTTTTGTGAATGAATGTTGCGCTGATTATTCGATAATGCAAATTATCTGGTTTGAGATGAATCAAATGAAATATCCATGCAGTTTGGGGTCTACTGGAGTCTCATGCACAACATGGAGGAGATGAGGCTAAGCGCCGCCAGACTGTACCCAGCGTCTGTGGCCGAACTTGGTGGATGATCTCGCCATCGCTTGCACCGTAGTCTACTGTTCTTAACAAAGCGGCGCTCAATTGTGTGTACCAATTACTTTTCGTAATTGGTCAATGATATGGTTGTGATAAGCTGTTACACTGCAATGTATAGACGTGGCTACGTGCGGAAAGAACTCATATACGTCTAGAAAGGTTTATACTCTATAATTCATATTTTTTTATCCAAGGAATTCTTAAATATAATTTCTTAGATATTTTAGATTAGAGATTTTTTTTATTATTATTTTTTAATTTTTTGTAACTTATTTTCAAATCTTGTTCCAATAGAAGTGCACTAACTTAATGCAAATACTCTTTTTTCATTTATAATTATATAATTAAGAACATTAAGAATAGTACTGCCAAATTTTGTAAAAAAATAGAAAACCATATTATTCATGATTATTAAAACATTTTATTAGAAAGATGATATGTTTACAAACTTTTTTTATGTAACTTTTATTTTTTTTTTTTTTTTTGTTTGATCTGCCTCATAGAAAGACAAATAGAACCCCTTCCTGGCTCGCACCCCCAAGTCC